GATTTATGTTGATTGGTCCAGCACGAATCCAAAACCATACACTGGGAATCGAAATCCAGTTGATGGTAGGATGAGGGATGATCCCAATTTAAGGGGTGAACTGCATTGTGACAGATCTACTCTAAAGCAACTTCACTCTCAAAGGCTGAAGCACAACTGCAATCTCCAGGTTCCACCATATGGAAGTGGACTGCATCTATAAAATATAAGCAATCTCACCCTCCATATAAAACCATGCAAAAGCTGTGCACAATATCAACCTCCAGAACCCACCACACAGAGGTGGAACATTTATTTGTAGAAATGCACAACCTCATCCCTTAGATAAGACTGCACAGAAGTTTGAGTGCAATGCCACCCTCTGTGTCCCACTAAACAGAAATGGATCACATCTAGATAATATAAGCAATAACTTCCTCCAGATAGAAATGCACAGAAGCTGGGTGCAATGTCAGCCTCTGGGACTCACTGCACAGAGATGGAGAGCATGATTGGAGGATCAAATACCATCTACACCATCAGAACACCACTACCCTACTCTCAAATGAATGGAGACAATCACATTCAGAAGAACTCCTCCAAGGTCCACCACCCCAGTGGCTTGGAACTGGAAAATGGCAAGGACACCCATACTCCACTAGAAGAACAAGGGGAACAAAATGTGGTGGAAAGTCCACAGGAAAACCAACACTGGAGACAGAACAATGGATGACCATGAAAAACCCTATTTTGAAAAGCAGACACCACTGATTTATTCAATCGAAGAGAGAGCAGAGGTGGGCAGCTATCTTCTTCTACTTTATCCATGTATGGTCTGGAATGGGGATAGGTATGAAGCAACTATATCGTGAAATAACACCTCATCTCAACAGTGTGCATCACTGGCCATGATTATACATCTTAACCATCCAGTGCAGATTTGAGAGATAGCAAGCGTATCTGAACAGGCAAGGCTTGCCACTTAGCAGGATCCTAATCCTAAAGGAGACATGCCAGTGGAAGGAAGAATATGTATACAGAAAAGATAAATTACCCAGTCACAGTCATACCTCAACGAGGAAGAAACAAGTATCCAATGAAGATAGTGGTAGATGAATGTATGAGGTAACTGACTGAAGAATTTCCTCCAATGGATGATGGAGGTGAGATGCTAGGAAAAAATATAAGTTGCCTGATCTGATGCAACGACACCTGGTATAGAATTTGGGAAGAAAGAGATAGGAAAGAATAGACCAATCAAATCAGTTGACAAACCCATCTTGGAAGAGTAGAAAGAGAAAAGTCACATACAGATGAATGGTGCCAGGGAATGAAAAGGTGGGAACAAGAACCGCTACAGGATGCCACTCGAACAATGTAACAATATAGAGCAAGTACTGGGCATAGAATTATGTCTGGATCAGACTGGGAATAAAGGTGGGGAATGGATGGAATTGAAATTGACAAGAAGGAAGAATTTCCATCACAAACTGCTGAAGTTTTGAGTAGGAAAGATTGATCTGGATAAAGTAGAACACAAGTGACCGATGATGCCCACAGACTAAAAGGAGTAGGAACATGTCTGAATGGATAAGTGAAACATGGAACAAGAGGACAAAGTTCAAATGGAGGGAGTGGAAGGCAGTGAAGAACAATACTGACATTACAATCCAGAAGAACTGCATGATGAAGAGGTCTACAAAACCTGAAGGAATGCAAAAGGTACCAGCTTGTACAGTCTTGACTAAGAAAATCCACTGCCAGGGCCTGAGGATGACGAACCGGAGGCCAAAAAAAAGAGGTAACTTGGTGTTTGAGTAAAGTGATAAAAGTGTCTTGATGAGGAGTACTCCACTGACTGCACAGCCACCTGAAAACCTGAGGGTCAAGAAACCTCTGCATGGAATAAACCTGGTTATGTCTTGAAAATTGATCCATCACAAAGTGAAAAGCACCCTGAACATGACAAGCAAGGATATGTATCCACAGCATAAACAAGTTCTAATGTTTGACCACAAAGGGAATGGGAACAAGTTCCCCATAGTGATTGATTTAGGTCACAATGGAGGACTTGTCAGAATGGAGCATGAGGTGTAGGTTCAGTACCCAAAGAAGAAAATGAACCAAAGCATGTCATACCAGCAGAAGCTCCTAGATGTTGATATGTTAAGACATTTTGATCTGAGAAGCCATTATTCGGAAGCTTCATGATGATGTACCCATGCTCCCCAAATATGAGAAAAACATCTGTGAGCAGATTCAGATGAGGCAGAGGAAGCAGTACTCCATTGTTTTGTTGTCCTTGTTCAATCACTAATACAGATATTCTGTAAGGGAAGAAATAAGGCTAATTTGGGTGTTTAAGGGATCCCAAGTAAGAGTTCACTGAAAAGAAAGCATATGTGCCAACCCAAAGGAATAAGGGCTTCCAGAGAAGCCCAAGTCCCCAAAAGTGACAGAACGTCATGTGCAGAAACAGAGGGAACAGTAAGTGCATGAAGAATTTAAGGCTTCATCAAATGGAGATGAAGTGGAGAAGACTGGGTCCAAATGAGGTGGGTGTTGAAAAATACACCCAAGTGGATAAGATATTTGGTAGGCAAAAGAAAGACTTCTCCAACTTGAGAATCCAACCAACATGAGATGCATCTATCAGCAGCAGTTGTGTGCATTGGGAAAACTCCAGTTTGGAATGAGCTGACAGGAGCCAAACATCTATTTAGTGGTATTAACACAACCCCTGAGCATGCATAAGTTGGGCTAAAGCCTTGACAACCCAATAAAATACACATGGTGCTAAATCAAGCCCAAAAGACTAGATGTGAAACTGACACACAACTCAGTAGTGGACAAACCAAAGATAGCATTTGAGCTGATGAGAAATGAGAACATGGTGATAGGCATTCGAGATGTCTACCATGGTCATCCACAGTCCTGGTGAAAAAGCCATCCTGAGTGTGATAAGGGGCTCCAAGGTAAATCGGGGGAAGATCCAATAATCGTTTGAGGCAGGACAGATGAATCACAATTCCCTGATTTTTTTTGGGGACAACAAAAAGCCAAGAGTAAAACTCTGGAGAAGGTTGGCTGACAGACTCAATAAATCTTTGTGATATAAGGGTCTGCACAACCATGGATAGACACAGGCTGGTAGCAGGATCCCGAGTTAATGGGAAGGAAATCAATAAAAGAAACGGTAGTGGTAGGGAAAAGAAATGTTATGAAAAGTTCTTCTGACAAAACTTGGGTCACCCAAGAGTCAGTAGTTATATGTTCAAAACTTCTCATGTAAAGGAAACAAGTCTATAATCTGATGGTTAACTGTGGTAAATGGAATTGGAATTTTCATTCTGAGTGGCACATTATGTGCATGTGGACTAACTGCCGAAGATTCAGGTGAATTACTGACTAGAGGAAAGATGTCAAACCAGCAGCAACTGCCAAAAATGACAAGGGCTTTGTATGACTCTTTGTACTGAATAATGTCAATTTTATAACATCTAGAGAAGAAATTACAATGATGCTCAGTGGCATCATGTCTTAAACTATAGACCCTTCAATCTGCAGCCTGAAACACTAACTATTATGCCAAGCCTGGTCAAATTAATTATGAGAAATGATAAGGAAAAACAAAAATTGTTCAGCATTCTTTGTAATATAAAAACAGTGTGTATACTGTACTATGTCAAACGGATCTGATCTAGAGTGTAGTTTAACATGAATTAAGATAATAGCTTAAGTACTAAAGTATTTATATATTCTACAATTTTGGCACTTTGTACAAGACTTAAACATATCCAGTTGTACACTAATACAAGAACACACAGTTGAGCTACCAAGCATAGCATATACTGAGTATATCTAAAACACATATTTGTTGTTTGAAACAATGAGAACCACACAAATAAACAGTTTTCTCTATATTATCAATTTTATTTTACTTTGAAACAATATTTTGATTGCTGCACCTGTATTTATTTTGTTATCATTTAAGATGCGTGCATTATGTTTCCTGAGAGTACAGACAAGTGGATGGCATACCAGCCTTCCTAACAAGGAGACACAGGATCAAATCCTAGCCTCTACCATCATATACAATCCTTCTTAGAACTATCCTTAAGATGGCAGCAGATTAGCAGCTGAATAGTGAGATATTAGTTAATTGGTAATAATAATGATAATAATAAAATTAGTAAATAAGTGATAACTGAACATAGGTATTATATATGTTACTAATGACAATAATGACTGACATCTGATCACTACAACTTTACTTTAAATACTTAAACCTGTTTTTTTTTTTAGTACACTGAAGCAGAGTGGTCTGCAAGGCAGTTAATTACAAGCAGATTAAATTATTTCACTATTGAAAATTTAGGTAAATGCTGAGTATACCTATAAAAATGTGCAACAATTTACTTACTTGCGTATATAAAAGCTAGATATTTTAAGTTTTATTCTGTTTTTAATACTCAAATTTTTCATTCATTGGTAGGTCCAAACAACGTGCATGATTTTGACACTAAGCTTTCAAAAAAAGACATAAGCTACCTAATTACTCTGGAAAACAGCAAACTTTTCCCTAATGAAATAATGTACTTAATTAAAACAAATGCTTACTTTGTTTTAAAGATAAGACACAGTTTCAACACATCTGACTAAAAGAATGGTATTTTATTTGAAACTTACTTCACACATTATTTTAATTAACTGGTTCTTTTATCTCTTTGTTCACATAATACAACTGAAAAGAATCCAGTTTATGATTTGTAACTTCATATTCCATGAATGTCAAAATTTCATTCATTCAAACTATAACATTATTGTTGTTTCATACACTGATTAATCATGTTCACACTTTCAAAAAACTGAAACTATATCCTCAAATTTAATATGTACTTTTCCAATTTGTTTAGTAATTTCCAAAATGCTGAGTTGTTTTGTTTTTTTTAAATTAAAAAAATACCTTTATCTAATTTCAGTTAAATCTAATTGTATAGTCATATTTATAAATATCATACCTGTAACATGATTGGTTCATATATTTTTTTCTTGTATTTCTGCTCATTCTCTCTTAGCCAAATTACAGCATCATATGCAGACTTATTTTTTCGCCGGAGCATTTCCAGTCTCTGACATCCTACATCTTTGATTTTGTTTAAATGTCTTTCTGTTCCTGAAAATTTTTAGAAAATGAACAGTTACAAGTAAAATAGAAATTGCTGCTCCCACCCCCCAAAAACAAACAAAAACAACAGTAAATGGTACAGAAAAGTGAGAAGTAAGGTTTCATCCTGGTTAACTAGTTTTGTTGACAAATCCAAATCCTGAAAATTATTTGTCAGCAAAATGGGATGGCCTCTTTACAATTTTAAAGTATTTAGAAAAAGTTGACTATAAGATAGTCATAAATAGTGATAAAAAAAAACACATTTTTTACACTAATATTTTAAAACCATGAAACAATCAAGCCTCTTTATTACATATAGAACTATATGCTTAAGGAAAATATGTTAGAGAGTAGCTGAAAGAGCGTGTGAAATGTCAGACAAAATCAATATTTTTGAAAATTTAAGTTAAGAGCACCATTCTAGCTCAATACATATATTAAGAGTTAGCAGAATTTCTCAACTTAAAAACTGTGGTAAAACATGACCTAAAGGGTAACATTAGACAATCCTGTCTCTCAATCTCCATAGCACTTAGGAGAAACATTAAAAGTAGAAATGCAGAGAATGCTAGAAGGATTCATTTAGCTAATGGTATTGATGAGTTCACTGAAGGAGATCATGAAATTTCAAATTTCATTCAGTATCACATGACTTTTTCAAATTTATGTGATGACATTTTGGACAAAAAATGCCCCAACAACATCTCAAAGATTACTAGATCAAGTTTTAATATGTTTAGAAGATTTTTTCAGTTGATTACAAAGATGATATTAAAATTCAATGGTGCTTGTGTAAATGCTCAGTGTTAAAAACTCACTTTATAATAAACAATGATTTATTATACACAATTCTAAAAATGAGTGTTCCCAGTCTTGTTTTTAGAATTGTGTACAATAAATCATTGTTTATCAAAATTAAGTTTTTAACTTTGATATTAATGTATAACTGTACAAACAAGGCACATTTACAGAACATGTTTGAAGTTTTGACTAGGGCTTAGCAAAGCATATGCTACTTGCATACGGTGGAAATAGATTATCTTCACTGTGTTGTTAGGAAAGAAGTAATCATACCTCTCAGTATTAAAGTTAAAGGAATTAAAGACTTTCCTTTACCAAAATCAAATGCCAGATTGATTATTTTTGGTTCATTTTATACCAAATTATGCTAACATGAATACTGTACTCATTGATAAGTCCAGAACATGTGAACCCAATGAGGTGTACTGGGATCAACAGAGCAGAAAAAGCCTTTTTGTATCTAAACATTTCGTGCTTCTACCTTGTTTCTAAAGCTAAAGAACAGGTTGGTGTATTGGTCAGAGCTTAAGCAACTGTGTTCAGCTTGATGAACACCAAAAAACTGAAAGAATCCAGTAGAATACCTTAGTCACAAACCACTTCCTTGAAAATAGGATCTGGCAGAAAAAGAAAACCTAACCACTGTATAAGCAGTACAGAAACTCTGACCATACTCATAAATTAGGTGAAATCTCCATCATTACGACAGATCATAATTCATAAGCATAGCTAAATCAGATGAATGGAGAAAACAAAAACTGCTATTATGAAGCTTGCTATTCCAGGAGTTTGATTTTGTGGTCCAACATTGGAAGGGCCAATAAAACATTTTATCTCTCCCTCTCTTTAGATTTCACTTAATTGACTTTCTTGTCACTCGTATCATATTTTAGTATGTGTGTGTGTGTGTGTGTGTGTATAATTTTGGGGGAAATAGGATAATGAATGTATGCTATTTATTTATTTAAATATTTTTCTTTAGTTTCTTTGATCATGTATATATATATATCACTAAAACCAACATGTCTACGAACCAATGGTTTTGAGTAATGAATATTTGGAATTGCTTTGTCTAGTAGAGAATATTGACAGTTAGGTGAACCCTCTAACTTCTATTAAAGCTTAGGATGTTTCTCAAGATATACATGTTGAGATGTGAAATGTAATTCAACTGCATCAACTAAGAATTTCTTTAGTAGTTTAACCCTTTTGCGACAAACTCAGTATAAAATACACGAGTTCATATATACACATTTGCACACTTTAAGTATTTATACTATAACTTTTAATGCAGTTAGTGTATCTTCAAAAATTTGGTACACTTTTAGTAAACATTAAAAGTCTTTTATGTACAAAAATCTGATATTTTAATGAAGTATTTTTAATAAAGATTTGTTTGTGAAAATATCGAGACTGTTTCATTACTAGTCCATGTTCTTCATTCCAAACATCTAAAATATTATTTGTGTAATCTCTAAACCTCCTAAATACATTTCAAACGTTTGTTTTCAGTAAAACTTTATATTTTGTCTGTTATTTTCTCTACCCTAACTATACGGAATCTACCAATTTAACTGACCTCATAACCATAAAAATTAGGAAATAAATATAAATTATGCTTTTTTCATTCCAGAATGACTACAAATTATAACACAAAAATGTTTAGTCTAAATAGCTTCAATCTCATAACATTATACATTTATATATATTTATCATTTTTATTATATTGACCTTCCAGTAGTGCCTGGCTAACATTACAGAAGTCACAATGACATTGGGCATGTGCACTGATGTTACCGTATCAAAGAATATAAAACTGGCCTTTACAAAGTGACCTGTCCTCGCTGTGTTTTAGTGGACTACTATTCTGTAAAATACAATCACATTTCAGTTTTAATACATTATATATGTATATAAATTATTACTAATTAGAAATAAGTTCTAAAACCTATTTTTCTTAAAACATATAACAGTAAATAATCTTATGTCTCTATAAATATACACTGTAAATAGGTTCAAATAGTCTGAATGATTAAATTATTAATACAAGTACTGTAATATCTATGTAGAAAATGACTGTAAAGTTGTAAAAGAGAAAGAGAGAGAGATAGGTAAGGTGCACATAAATAAATTGAATTGTGAACAACAGTAAAACAACAACAATAACAAACATTTGGTACATGTGTGACAGTAACAAATATTTAATTCTTCAATGTTTCATAATGTACATATTCCATCTTCAGCAAGTTACTAAGTCATCAAGAAATTAATGTCATTTTTTTTAGATGAAATAAACCCGAATAACTTACATATAAAAACAAAACATTTATTAAATGAAATAGTCACCATTCTTATTGATGATGCTTTTCCATCTTAAATCAGGTTGTTAATGCCTTGATTAAAGAAAT